AAGGGAATTGATAGTGTTGTTGCATCACCTTTTTTCATTTTTCATACTTAAAAGTAAGAATAGTAGGACTAGGGGACACAAGTATAAATTTTGGCAAGGTAGGAGTTATTTTCAGCCAAGACAGTTTCATTTTTCTAACAGGATAGTTGGCCTTTGGAATATGGTTGGCTTCGGATATCGTAAAGGCAGTAAATTTAAGTGAGTTTAAGAAAAAGCTTGATAAGTATACGAATGATAAAGGCTTGCTTTAAGATTTTTTTTTTAATCATTTTAATTTATTTTCGAGGATGGAACAACCAAGATGGACCAATAGGTCCTACGTTGTCCCAAACCTTATGTTATGTTGTTACTGTTTTCCATTACTTCAACTAACGAGTAATTGAAATATTACTATTATGATTTTTTGTCATTATTTCTGATTGATGTCCAGTTTAATCTATTAGATTCAAGAATTCACAAAAATAATAAATTAATCAAAATTACAGTTGTTGATTATTATCATTTTAGATTATTTCAACTATTCAATTCATTCAAACTATTACTGATTATGATTTTCTGTCATTATTTTGATTGATGTCCAGTTTAATCTATTAGTTTCAAGAATTCACAAAAATAATAAATTAATGAAAATTACAGTTGTTGATTATTATTATTTTAGATTATTTCAACTATTCAATTCATTCAAACTGTGTTTTTTGATAAGCACAAAGCTACATAAGGGGCTGTGCTCTGCCCACCACCAAATTTTAGGGCTCTAAGCCCTCAAACGTACTGCTGAGCCACCAGGGGCAGTAACTAAAATACTACCATTATGTTTGCTGTTAAGTACAAAGTTATATAATGGGCTATCTGTGCTCTGCCCACCACGAATATTGAAACCCAATTTATAGTGTTATAAGTTTGTTTGTTTTTCTCAGTAAATTCATGTGAAAATAATCAAGTTATTTTTACCAATCTTGTGAGAAAAATTGGTTAGTTTAATGCAATTGATTAATAAGCCTGATAATTAATTAATTAGCAGATTCTATTGATTACCCACCTCTAGTGCTGATTACTACTTCATTTTATTAATTTTTTGCATGACTAACATTAGTTATGGTTAACATTATTTATGCTTATATATATATATAGAATAACATGCATGATTCATGGCCCTAACTTGTGCTTATATACAGAGAATGATATGAATAATCCATGACCTTGATCTGAATTTCAAAACATTACTCACAAAATGTAATGAAATTAATATAAACCAAGATCTAATTTTAGTATTATCAAAAGATAAAAGAACTGTGGAAATGAAATTCCGCTGTAGCTACTGATGCCAAAATCAGTATTAACGTGCAGAAAAAGGGGGTAGATAAACCAACACAAACTACAAAAAAAAAGTTTATATTGGTAGTGTTCCTTGTTTAAAATGTAATTGTACATTTCCATGTATGCCTCTCTTGTTCAACAACCTCCTACCACAACATTAACATATAATCATACATTAAATAGATATATACAGTTTTCCAAATCTCCTTCCTCAGAAATGTGCACATAAAACATGATATTCATATCTTTTTTTTGTAAACAAAAAAGATACTTTTTCATTACCATGGTTAACCAAATTGATCTGCAGAATAATGAATAACTTTGATTTAAAAATATAAGCCTAATCTTCATTCTTTTTTCTTAATTATAAAGTAATTTTAAATAGCTTACCTTTAAAATCAACTTCCCCATTCCGGTCAGTGTCAAATATGTCAATTACTCTTTGCACTAGTGGGTTTTGCTGAAGTTCGGGTAATGACATAAACTCATCCACACTGAGAGAGCCAGAATTGTCTAGATCAAGTTTTCGAAACCTCTTTCCAAGTCTTTTGATTTCATCAGCATCAACTATAAAATTATAAAATAAACCAATAAACTTGTAACAGAAGCAATATTAAAAACACTCTTAGTACTTAATACTAATACTTAAGTCAGTAGATTACGCATTCTTCAATTCTAGTGTTAAATCTATTGCTACTACATATACTTTCATATTTTAATACTATTTCAAAGGTACTTTACTCAGCTTGAATAAGACCCACTATATTTTGTCCATCTTCATTTGCTATACAATATATGACTGTTTCTAGTTGACTTGTATAATATTTTGCTAATTTTCATTGTAGACCAGGTTAGCTTGCACATCATAAACATACATGTCTACTATAATGCTTGGGAATATATGCTGACTTCTCATATTATTTGTGTTCCTGCAGTAACCACAATCCCAAGCACATGGCAACTTTCATTTAAATTTCCTTGTCAAATCTAGCAGGTGGTAACATCTGCTAAGTACTAAGTTTATTTCTGCACAAGTAAAACGACTAAAGTATAACTGAGACAGGGTTTAGTGCCAAGTGAATTTTAAACCAGAGGTTGCAAAACTCTTAAAAACTCATTTTCAAAAATTAGCAGCTTAAATATCATGGTAAGTATAATGCTTTTTGATGGCTAGTGCTCATAAAACTTGACCACAATGATAAAAATCTGCTCATCTATGGAAAGTTTAAATGACTAAAATGAATTACTAGTTTAAAAATATTCGTATGTTACCCATGCTCAAGTGACTAACCATCCATGGAGATAAGGGTAATATACATATACACATCTATGGCACTGAACATTTACTATGTTGGTGCAAGTAGTGCACACTGGAGTGGAAGTTGCCCCATACCTTCTTTATGAACAGTGTAAGCATATCAGCTAAGTCTTATATGGACTGGATTGCTAGACTATAACATGGTAGTTTGAATCCAGTAGTGCAACCTAACCAGAAACATTGTATGCAAAAAAAATAATAATAATTGAAAAATGCACATCTTTAGGTTTTTAAAAAAATACATGTGCAAAACTTCAGAAATTAATATATATGTGCTTGGGAGATAAAATTTCCTAAAGTAATGAGTGTTTGCAGAAAGAAAATGCATCCTCTGTCTTCAAGTATTAAAGAATATGCAAGCAAAATGTTAATCAATTTTTGGATTGTTTTGCTGCTACTACTTGTTAAGAAACAGCGATGAAAAAGTGCAACTTCATAAAGTCATAAATATTTCTAAGACTGTCAAGTCAATATGCATCATATAGCTAACCCTATGATGGTAAGCCTTTGGATTTTCTTAACACTGTTTGAAATGTACGTTAAAGCAACTTAACAAATTAATGAACGTATTTATGTATATTAAAAATAGAAAAAAAAAAAGACAACAATAAACTGGAAATTAATGTTATTCTTCCATGTAACAATGAAGAAATTAATCCAAAAAACAGAAGTCAAACTACATCCCTGAAAAAAAATATGTTTATTTTAAATACCATTTACAAAGTTTTCATCAAACTAGAACAATAAAAATAACTGAAGCTCTGTAATAAAGGTTTAAAGAAAAGCTCATTTTTATGCATCTCTTTTTTTCTTTCTGATTACTTACATGTGGAACACATCTCCATAGGAAGTGATGTTTCATTTCCCTGAGAAAAGAAAATAACAAACTGAACACACATTTCAAAAGATAAAATCTGAAAAAAAAGGATAAATTTATTCTCAACTTGAAGATTTCAATTTATATCTCTTTCGAAGAACAACATATTCAAAAGTTGATTAATACATATAAAGCTAGAACTGAGATGCCTACTGCCCTGATAATATTGACCAGCAAATGCAAAGTTCATATGTAAAAGTGTGTGTGCATGATTTTAAAATTAAAAGCCACATCAGGACATCTGTTGTGTCCACCGAGGGGAATCAAACTCCTGATTTTAGCATCGTAAATCTATAGACTTACCTACAGAGGACCATTTGTAAAAGAAAATCCACTTTTTAGTATTATCAAAACATACTCATAGTTGACATGTACAGGATGAGAAGAAAAATAAGTTTCATTATTTCTACAGGTGTACATTTTCATGTCAAGTGTGAGTCTGACTTAGTAACTGAAGAGCTGAATTTTAGTACAAAAGCAATATGCAATACAAAACATACACACAAAACCTGGGATTAAATCTTTTTCTTTTATATTTTATGTTCTTAGAGCAAAATTTTGGGTTTATTTTATTATTTGACAAAGTGAAGAAGCTGATCATTAGCCCATGTAATGAAGTAATACAGTAAAACTCATACCTATACCACTACTCTAACAAATTATGGACACTGGTGTTTTAGTTTTTTTTGCACCTTTAATACTCTTAGCAATTTGCTTTATAGTTCAAGTTTCTGGTGTGAGTCAGCTTGATAATAGCTCTGGATCACGAAAATTTTTTATGGCCACAGCATATTAATGAATAATGCTAACAATAATAGCACGTACGAACCAAGTCCTTATTGTTATCATACTAATTTATGCTTATAAAATTATATCATTTTCTTATAATTTTGCCCTAATTCTGTTTAGAAAAGATTTGTCTTACAGAATGTACATTCCAAAAGACTCAAAGTCAAACTGTTTATCACCACTTCTGCCAACACTTAAGCAGAATTACCATTATTAAAGTTAAGTAAATTTTTAGCATTGATGCATCTTTAGCTTGTTATACTAATTATACTAGTAATTAGTATGTACTATTTGCTAATTAGACTAGTCATACCAATAGTTACTAGTACTAGTAGGACTAGGTCAGTAGGTGTGCTAACTTGAGTGTAAATCATGTAACTTATTTTTTATTGTTATTGTAAAACAGTGTAATTTCATGGCATTGGTGATATAAACTTGTAATTTGTATTTCCAAGCAATAAGCTTAATAATGTATAACGGCATAAACACAAATTTGCGTATTACACTTTATTGTTTACAGTACTACAATAATAGTTCATGGGCGTCTGCAGGGAGAGGGGCAAGAGGGAGCACTTACCCTCCCATGAAAATGAGAAATATAATTCTTTCTTTATTCATTTGGCATATTTATTTGAATTTTTTATTCAATTCACATTACTTTGCCCATCCCTGGAAAAGTTTCTTCGGACGCCTATGCTACTATTAGTTTATAAAACTGTAACTTTGAATTTTATTTTTAATGCCTCAACACTGCTAATGCTACAGTCTACAGTACATACTCATAAACTTCACAAGGCATCACATCATTACCCAGTCACTAATACAAACTGATAAATCATAAAATTAAAAATATTGAATTTCACCATACATATTTTAATTCAAGAGATAGACATTCTATTATTTAATTATAAAGCTTAAGGTTAGTCTTACCATTGTGATTCTATTAAACTGAAACGTTAAGGCTTAAGCGTATCACAATTCTAAACTTCCCTTAACCCTTCTTTAAAGCCTATCACTATCAGTGTTACTGAAGCTTTTGAAAGTTTGGTTTCAGACTAGCTATTATTAAAATAATAATAAAATGGTATAAATAAGTTTCTTCTAAAAGTAATATAAACTAAATAAAACATATTTAAACTAAATATTAAAGAAAGCAATACTGTTTTATTTATTAGTAAGGAGAAGATTCCATTGTGATTTTGTTTTAAATTCTATTGTGGTGCTTTTTGGTTGGTTGTTTGTTATTAAGCACAAAGCTACACAATGGGCTATCTATGCTCTGCCCACCACGGGTATCGAAACCCGGATTCTAGCGTTGTAAGTCCGCAGACATACCGCTGTGCCACTGGGGGCGTGATTTTTGGTAAAAGGTATTTTTGTGGTACAGTTGAATTTGGAAATTGCATTGTTTTACTCTTTTTTTTCTAAGTAGATAAAAAATTACATTCAAGT